CGAAAAGTATTATAATAGTGTTATTAGTAGACGAATTCGGAAACTAAAGAATCGGGTAAGTAGTATGACAAGTTCTACAACTTAGTTAAACTCACTAAAAGAACAAAGACATAAAAGACTGCAGCTTATAGATAGGACAGTGTCCCAACTAAAGCAACAATCCTTGTGGATTATGGACGTGCAAACAAGCTAGTTATAGGCATTTCCATATTTTGAATTATCCAGTTAAGGCAAGGTCGCATGGGTCTACAGGAACAAAACTGGATTCGGTTTGTTGCTATTTTGTTGGACACGCTAAAATATCTAGTCTAGGGGATATAAGTTCTAAGATCCCAAAATAATCTTTCTTTTAGACGGAAAATACCTATTTTCTTGAGAATATTGAGTTTGGAGGGGAAGATAAGGTTAATGACATTGTCTTTAAAGGGAATATTTTCTACTCATGGTAATCTAAGATAATGTTAAAACTTTTCCTCATCAAGACAATTGTACATGAAAAACTCAACAATCTCAAGTATGGATGCCATTAAGAGATTCCAAAGGAGAGAGAAAAAATACCGTTACGATTAATACCATAAAATAAATAAATACAATAATTGATAAAATAACGTTTAGGTTCTTTTCTTATTGCCCAAAGGTGATGTATAAAGATATAAGACTTATTTTCTCAATAAAGAATTTAGACATAAAGATGGCATTATCTTATAAAGACTCTTTTGTATTATTGGAAGTCCAAATTTTAAGACACTCTATAATGGCATATATGGTATATTTTATATTTGGGTTTCATTAGATGGATATTAAAAGATTATTTCTTAATGGCGACATTTTGAGACAATTTATTTGGTGCAACCGAAAAATTTTGTTTGATGGTTTGCAAATTAAAGAATTCTATCTAAGAACTTAAAAAAAAGTTTCCTGTTCATAACTCAAATATTTTTAAGTTTTCATCTCATTTGGTTTTGAGGTGAATATTGTGATGATTATACATATCACAATTTCAGTGGGAGTTTATAGCACATAATTAAAGAATTATATTTAGATATTTAGTAGCAGCTATAAGTTTATGCGGAATCATTAAGACTTTAAAAATTACAAGCTCACATATCGGAGTTCAATCAAGTTAGAGATCATTCAGTATCCCGACTTCGATTCAGTTTAGTTGTCGATATTGTCACAAGGCCGCAAATACAATATGGTCTTCAAAGACTACTTAAATTATAATGGGACAATAATGCAACAATTCAAGATACTCTAATAACAATGAACATTAAGTTCTTAATTGTTAGATTTAAGTTCAGAATGAATAAATTTTTTAAGGAGCACATTCGGACAAACTCCAATATCACAGATTACTTCAGCTAAGGTATTCGGTGAGTATCTTACTCAAATGAGTATTGTGTAATCTGATATGACGGTTTAGTGGGAGTTTGTAATTTTAGTTTTACTAAGGGTTTATACATTTATGAACATTCAGATATTAATTAATACTGCAGTACAAAGTCTAAAGTCTCAAGTAAAGTTTAAGGTATAAGGATAAGTTTTTCAGTGTGCTTACATTCTGAAACTTTGGTTGATCTCACTAAAGTGTAAGGAGAACCAGTTGGAAATAGACATGTTAAATATCACATTACATGAAATTTCCATGCTACACATCAACACTTGATCCATGTTATTTAGTTATATTAATGTATGTGACTACTGATGGGTTTAGTTGTCATTCATGCAACGACTGCCCCTATGATCCCATGCTTATATTATTAATGAACGGGATTGTTTAAGTCACTTTATGATAGCAAATTCTGCGCGCTCTTAAGTTTTTGGTATAATATACAATTATAAGGTATATATATGGTGTATAGTCCAAGTGGGAGATTGTAAGATCTATGTGGACTTTATACACTAATATATATAATTGTATGTTATACGCTATCATAAAATACTAGTCCACATAAAATGATCTAATTAAATCAACTAAAGTTTGGGCTAATTATAATAATTAAGTTATAAGGTGTGGTCCAGTATTGTATAGAAACCCTAAGGCCCAGTTTCCTGTTCTGTGATGGGTGGAACCGGAAACCCTATTATATATTGGTTGTGATCCCCGGATGAGCTATCATGCCAAATCTTCGACTCCCCATTTGTCAGAGGTTCCTGCAAGGGCTTGACGGAATCATCTGAAAGACCAAACCGAATCGATGTTCTTGCCGCTACAGATTAAGGTACGTTTCTGCTTTTCTATAGTTCTCAATAATTTGATGTGAAAGTGTCTACAGTATTTGGATTATTCCAACAGGCTATGTTATATCTGTGATGTAGATTGAATCGATGTTTGTTGGCGTGAAGGTTTGTAAAAGCTTGCAACTTTTACAAATAGCATGGCAATAGCATAGATGTTAAAGAATACTACTTTGTATACTTGGAAGAATTCACTTGTGAATATTAACATTGTTTTGAGAAGGCAAAAATATAATATTACTCGTGTAGGGGGAGGTTAACTCAGTAACAGATACTTTGGCTAAACTCATGTCAGTAGGGCTACGTTCTCAATTCACAATATGGACATAAATTGCATCCAATGTGCATGGAATGTTGATTTTGATCAGGAGGATTAAACATAAAATAATATTTAATTTTGTTTCTTTGATAATCATTCTTTTGTTAATTTTTAATGATACCTTCTGTAAAAAAAATAAATAAATAAAACAAAAAAGAAACCTACAATCTTGTTCAATTATATAGTCATTTTTGGTTAGAATAGTGTGTGAAGGTTGATAGTCCACGGAGGAATAAATGGTGTATTAAGGTGATTTGAATATAAATTAAGGTAATATTTACATTATGGCGATATGTGAAGATGCAACCATTTCATGCTGTGCAAATTGAGAAAGTTAAAAAAAAATAGTAACCTCCAAGTGGAAACAAATAACTTTTTAAGATTACTTATTGTGCAATACCAGTGTATATAGTATAGTGATCTTAAATATGATTCACTTTATAAGAAATCCAATGATGATAGCCAACAAGGGTTTTGTACTGTTTCATTATGCTATAAGTCCTTGCACTTGATGATAATGAATTTTTTTTAGTTGAGAAGAAAAGTTAAACTTTTTTTTTTTTGTTCAATGAAACTACATGTTTCTGTAGAAATTTTGGAAGACCTTTATGAATATATTTAACTATATAATTCATATCTACTAATCAGATTATATTGGCTTTGCTTTCTCACATCATCATTGCATGCATTAGCCTATGTTCGTGAAACTCAAGATTCAACTAGGAAGTCTAATTTTGTTTCTAATGCCTAAACTCTTTTATCATTGTTACTATTGTTTTAATTACTCTTTATTACTTTTGTAATAGTTAAACTCTAATTCTTAATTCCGTGGCTTTGCCATGACATGTTGAAAGAAATTCCTAGTCAAAGGTCACACATACCTATACCAATTTTTGTGGTTCAACAAGCACTTGCCCGAACTTATAAAGACCTAACCTCCCTTCTGTTGTATTGGATTGAATAAGTAAGGAATGACAAATAGGGCAGATATAGAGAAAACAAGAAGTGGAAAAAGGGATTCGATTAACAACTCATAAGGATAGTGAAGTGAATGACTACAATATAATAATATATGCGAAGTTAAAATATCGGTTAGATAATGATACGTGTAGTGAATTTCCACCGATTACAAATTCAATTTAATTCTATTTTTCTTCATCCCTACATTATTACAATGAAAAAGATTACATTAATTTTTTTCTTCTTTGACAGATAATCGAAAGGATACCGTAGATTACATACCGGGTGTGAAAGCAATTGAGCCAAGTGATTTAATGTCATACCTTCAAGCCGATGACATATGGACGGTGGTTCACCAGGTAATTTACAAGGCTTTTGAAAACGTGAAAAGGACGGACATGATAATTTGCAACACCGTTCAAGAGCTGGAGCCGGAAACGATCTCAGCCCTCCATAAGAAACAACCGACATACGCCATTGGGCCCGTGTTCCCAGCTGGCTTCACCAAAAGCAGCATAGCCACGAGTTTATGGTCCGAGTCAGACTGCACTCAGTGGCTTAACGACAAGCCCGCCGGGTCAGTTCTCTATGTCTCATTCGGAAGTTACGCTCACACCAGTAAGAAAGACATCGTTGAAATCGCTCACGGGCTTTCCTTAAGCGGGGTGAGCTTCATCTGGGTTGTTCGCCCCGATATTGTCAGCTCTGACGAGACTGATTTCTTGCCGCCGGGATTCGAAGAGCAGATCAGGAATCGGGGTCTGATCGTGCCGTGGTGCTGGCAGATTACCGCAATTTCACACCCGGCGATTGGGGGATTTCTCACTCACTGCGGGTGGAATTCAACACTCGAGAGTATTTGCTGTTGTGTGCCATTAATTTGTTATCCTCTGGTCACCGACCAATTCACAAAGCGGAAGTTGGTGATTAACGATTGGAAGATTGGGATAAATCTGTGCGATAAAGAGTCGATCACGAGGGAGGAGGTGGTGGATAAGATCAAGTGTTTGATGAAGGGTAACATTATGGATGGGTTAAGAGCATCAATTAAGGAAGTCAGAAAGAAACTGGAGAACGCATTATGCGCAGAAGGGTCGTCTGCGAGAAATTTCGATGAATTTGTGGAGAATATTCAGGCCCAATCTCGGAAGAAAGCCGGGATCACTGCCAACGGGCATTCGAGCTTAGAGCATTTGCAAGATTACGCTTGATAGTGATATTAGTCTTAATTGTCCTGTAATTTAAGAGGTGTTAATTAATCGGGGCAACCCGAAAAACCGACCGAATCTAACTGAATTCGGGTCAAATGGGTCGGATTTTCGGTCTTTTGGGTCGGTTTCCGGTTTTAACCGAATAAAAGTGACGGGTTTTTGGGCGGTTTTGGATTTGGGATTATAGTTTCGGGGACCGCCCCAAACCCGAACTAATTTCACTGAATATAATATTTATTAGGGAAGTATAAATAGATATTAGACATTTCTAACTAGTGTTTCACCGGTCGCCTCCTTTTCTCTTCTCTGTTCTCCCTTTTCCTTCGAGTCCAACCATGGTCGCCGCCCTTCACCCTTAACCTTGACCAGCAAAAATCATCCCCCACTCCAAAATCGATTTCAAATTTACCTCAAAACCCTTAACCTTGGCCGCATCTCTTCAATTTTTTTCGATTTCAAATTGATTTTGGTCAGTCGGCTCCACTCCGGTCAGTCGCTTACGATTGTAGCTCCACTCCGGTCAATCGGCTCCGGCACGCGACGCAACCCTCTCAAATCTGAAGGTTGGTTCACGAATTCGATACCTCTTCTTATGCAAAGCTTTTCAATTTTTTGCTTTCCCGTGTGAAAACTGATTTATACATGTTGATTTATGTATGCTGTTAGTAAATTCGTATTGATTCTGTGCTGCTTTTCTTGTTCTAATTACCATAAGTTCCAATATATTTGTGGTCTTTGCGATCAATTTCTTGTTTCTCCGGTTAATATAAATGTATTCTTTCTTTTATGGCATATGGTTCTTGCTTTGGGTGTATTCGATTGCAACAAGGTGAGATTAATTTGTGCCTTTTGATTCTTTCCCTTCCCGTTTGATTTTCTGTAATAACCCCTAATTTTGTCTTGTGTTCCATAAGCCGTAGAGCTTGTTGTGCTTCAAAATTTACTTCTTCATTGATTTGGCTAAGAAAGAAATTGTGAAAGTGAGAATTAAATGTTAAAAAGTAAAATAATGTCCAAATAAACCCCCAGACCATCTAGAATTACTAGCTGTGCAAATACCCTAGTGTTATTTATGACACTACTAGGGTAACTTGTTTGGTGTTAACTGGACAAAAACAAAGGCAATTCCTTTTTGGTGCTTCTATCGTTGCGATTACATTTTGGTGATTGAAAGTAGCATTAGGCCTCATTTTTTTCATCAGAAATTATAATTTTGGTGATGAAAACTAAAATGTGGTGCCCAATCAAAAAATCAATAGTAATACTTCCTAATGAAGTTATTAAACTTGAAATTGATAAGCAATTTTAAACTTTGGTTAAGGTCCAACAAAACGAACATCACAATTTGTAAGATGAAGATTCAAGGACAATGAGGTGTAGCGTACTGGTAAGAGTGGTAAGAGTAAGACGCCTTTCTTATTTCTAATAGATCACGTGTTCGAGTCACAACGGAAATAAATGAGAAATTACTATTGATCTCTTTAAAAAAAAATAAATAAATAAAGATTTAAGAACTTCATATAATTCACTTGTCTTCCTCAATTCAGCAAAACATCAGGGAAAAACGAAGTTGATGGGCGCCAATTATTATTTTTAAATATTTCATGGATAACTTTAAAAATAGTAAAAGTCGAGGGACCACAAAATACTTTAATTTTGTGTTTTCACTACTACAGCCTTACAGGCTTACTCACTCGTCCGCTTCTCCGGTCAAAGTCGTCTAAACCCTAATTCTTCATCTTACAATCAATCTGCCGGCCGCAACCCAAGCACCCCGTGCACCCCCATTTCCACCACCATTTGCTTCAGAGGTTTTTGTTTAATTGTCCTTACATCTGTTTTGTTTTCTTTTGAACTTAAAAACACAGAAAGATCACATAAGTTTGAGAAGCTTGTGCCTGTCGGATGCTAGGGACGCTAGGGGTTCTCCTTTCTGCGTTAAGAGAAATAAGAATCAAAATGATTTTACTGTAAATGCGTTTTTTTTTTTCACTTGGCATGTCCGATCAGAGGTCAGTCCAATCAGAGGGCAGGTTGATTATGATGCCTAGAGTAACCATATAAATTGATCAAAAAAGGTTCCTCAACATGGAGATGTTATTTGGAAGAATCAGCTGCCTCAGAGGCTTTAACTTCTCTTGGGTACTAAGATACATACGGTTTTAGCTGCAAAACAAACAAGGTAAGCAGGCATGTAAGAAGGATGGAGCTAATATATAATTGAAATCAAGTTGATTGAATTGTTTCACCCACAAAGAATCAATCACGAGTCCCGACCTCCATATAACCAAAAAAGAATGCATTCTTCGACACAAATCCTAAAGATCTATTTAAGAGAACCGGAACACAAAGAATCAATCACTTGTTTGAATCAGTAGCATCAAAGACTACAAATACATTCAGCAAATTTGAAGATCATGACCTTCTCGTTATCAAATAAGTATGCATTCTTTAACAGAGATGCTAAAGATCTATTTAAGAGAACCATTGTGGAGTGTAACCCATTTTAAGTGCCATTACTAACCAAGGTAAATATTCACCAAAACAGAGATACAAGGCATCAGCTCAGAAGTTGTGTTTTAAAGTAAAAGAACAAAATCTATCTGCAGCTTAGTAGCTAATAGTTACATCAGAATGCACAATGCAATAGAAACGACTCAAACATCCATTTGAAAGAACAAGATCACTCAAGTGTCTTTTATCAACAAGGTATAATAAGATCCTAGTCACACTGGTATTAGCTAATTCTCATATGATAACATTCAGCTGCTGTTAAATTAAACAAGAGTACACGCACGGGTTATATAACCCACACTGCGAATGATATGATCATTTAAGAGTACCATTTTTATTTTACATTTCCTCGTATCAAAAGAGTATGAACACACCTCTACAACTCACCTTGAAGTCTCTCAAATCTGGAACCACATAATTAGGGAGTTTTTCTGGCACAACATACCCACCTGCAACAAGACATATAAGGTCAACTGGCTATGTACAATAATTACCACCTACATAAGATAGCCCCAATCGCATGCGGAATGAAGAACTTTGGTTAAGGTCCAACAAAACGAATATCACAATTTTTAAGATGAAAATTTAAGGACAATGAGGTGCAGCGTACTGGTAAGAGTGAGACGCCTTCCCTATTTTTAATAGATCACGTGTTTGAGTCACGACGGAAATAAATGAGAAATTACTATTGATCTCTTTTAAAAAAAAATAAAAATAAAGATTTAAGAACTTCATATACTTCACCTGTCTTCCTCAATTCAGCAATGGAACACTACAATAAGATTGATGAAGTAGTGCAAACAGTAGCGCGAGAGTAAAGAGCGTCCGAACTGTATAAGCAGTTTTTTGAGCATTTTAGTGATGCTAAATTCCGACGCTCTTTCGGATTGCCACTCTCGGATAGGGATAGGTGAATTTGGATTTATAGAGTTCCCACCCCGCAGATGTAGTAGGCGTTGCAAACCGGACGACTCGGTTTCGGAAGATACGTAAAGTTATACTTCTTTCTTTGTGCCTCAGTTTCTTCTGATCAATTATGCTCCACCTATTTGTTAATGAATAGAATCCCTTTTTTCTTTTGAATTACTCAACCCTTCTACGTTCCCGAAATGGATCCTATCAAATATTTTACATTTTCTATGATCATCTCTATTTCAGGTATTCAGGGAATCCTCCTTAATATCAGGAAAACGAAGTTGATGGGCGCCAATTATTATTTTTAAATATTTCATGGATAACTTTGAAAATAGTAAAAGTCGAGGGACCACAAAATACTTACTTTGTGTTTTCACAGCTACAGCCTTACAGGCTTACTCAGTCGTCCGCTTCTCCGGTCGAAGTCGTCTAAACCCTAATTCTTCATCTTACAATCAATCCACCGGCCGCAACCCAAGCACCCGGTGCACCGCCATTTCCACCACCATTTGCTTCAGAGGTTTGTGTTTAATTGTCCTTACATCTGTTCCGATTTCTTTTGAACTTAAAAACACAAAAAGATCACATAAGTTTGAGAAGCTTGTGCCTGTCGGATGCTAGTGATGTTAGGGGTTTTCCTTTCTGAGATAAAAGAAATAATAATCAAAATGATTTTACTGTAAATGCGTTATTTTTTGTTTCACTCGGCATGTCTGATCAGAGGTCAGTACGATCAGAGGTCAGGTTGATTATGATGCCTAGGGTAACTTTGTTTTCTGCTATGCGATTATTATTTTTGACGAGTTCTGAGCAACTTTGTTTCTTCCTAGATGAAGTGTATTTCGAGAATTATTGCAGTCTAGGCAAACAATTCGACGTCCTGAAATGCTTTGTGAAGTCATCATTGACGATTGCATGCCCTTTTGATGAACTTTTCTTAGTTTGTTAGTTTCCATCTTTCACAAGGCATATTTTGTATCCTGTTCAAATGAGTGCATTCTTTGCTTCTCTAGTTTCCGTGTCTGTAGTCAGCTAAGCGATTGTTCCCGTTTAGGTTTGCAATGTTTATGGCCAAAAATCAGTGAACTGCAGACACTCAGGCTGAGGTACGGTATGCCCAAGGTTCAACTCAACCCTGTTTTGTAACTCCAATCTGTTTCCATTACATATAGATATTTTGTTGCTTTACTAAACATCAATCAGCTTTCGATGGGTTTGCTAATCTTTGTTCCTGTGATAGTTTCAGTTTCTGAGGATTAGGTAGTGAAAATGCCGCTTGGTCTGATTCAAGCGTTAGGAAGATCGATATATAGGAGGAAGCGCACATCTTCGCTTGACATTCTCACATCCAAAAGGGGTCCTCGGGATTATTACAAGGGGAAGAATTGCAAGCCCACTGGTTTTCACACCCGCAAAGGTACTATGTCAGTTCTTTTTGTCTTTATGTATGTGTTTGTGCTCGTGAAAGTGTTTGTGCCCTCCGTTTTCTTCGATCAAGTCTTATAAGCTTTTTTCCTTTTTTCTTTTTCTTTTCTTGGGTACCTAATGAAGCATTTGTTGATCCATTGTTGAGTCCTTTTAATTCAAAAGGGCATCTCAATTGTGGATGTATATTTGAGAGGAAGAAGGGTTTGTACATTAATATTTTTATCAACTTTGGACTTCTTTATTGCGCATGCGAGTTTGGGGCTATCTTATGTAGGTGGTAATTATTGTACATAGCCAGTTGACCTTACATGTCTTGTTGCAGGTGGGTATGTTGTTGTGCCAGAAAAACTCCCTAATTATGTGGTTCCAGATTTGAGAGACTTCAAGGTGAGTTGTAGCAGTGCGTTCATACTCTTTTGATACGAGGAAATGTAAAATAAAAATGGTACTCTTAAATGATCATATCAGACTTCAAGGTGAGTTGTAGCAGTGCGTTCATACTCTTTTGATACGAGGAAATGTAAAATAAAAATGGTACTCTTAAATGATCATATCATTCGCAGTGTGGGTTATATAACCCGTGCATGTATTCCTGTTTAATTTAACAGCAGCTGAATGTTATCATATGAGAATTAGCTAAAACCATAGTGTGACTAGGATCTTATTATACCTTGTTGATAAAAGACACTTGAGTGATCTTGTTCTTTCAAATGGATGTTTGAGTCGTTTCTATTGCATTGTGCATTCTGATGTAACTATTAGCTATTAAGCTGCAGATAGATTTTGTTCTTTTACTTTAAAACACAACTTCTGAGCTGATGCCTTGTATCTCTGTTTTGGTGGATATTTACCTTGGTTAGTAATGGCACTTATAATGGGTTACACTCCACAATGGTTCTCTTAAATAGATCTTTAGCATCTCTGTTAAAGAATGCATACTTATTTGGTAATGCGAAGGTATGATCTTCAAATTTGCTGAATGTATTTGTAGTCTTTGATGCTACTGATTCAAACAAGTGATTGATTCTTTTTGGGTGAAACAATTCAATCAACTTGGTTTTCAATTCTACATTAGCTCCATCCTTCTTACATACCTGCTTATCTTGTTTGTTTTGCAGCTAAAACCGTATGTATCTCAGTGCCCAAGAGAAGTTAAAGCCTCCGAGGCAGCTGATTCTTCCAAATAACATCTCCATGTTGAGGAACCTTTTTTGATCAATTTATATGGTTATGCATGTGCGTAGGCAATATGGCAATATTAGTACTCATGACATGTTTGATCATAACCTGTTTTCCCAGGATGTAGAACAATAGTTGATGCGCAGCATGGTTGAATGCCCTGGTTTGTTATTGTAGGGTTTAAAATGTGTTCCCGGGAGGACGTTGAATCGTGCCTTTTCTGATCAAGTCAGGCGTATCTATCTAGTCCTGAATAAGCCAGACTCCTCCTCGGCCTGGTAGTGTATGGATTTTTGCAGCTGGTAGAATATTTGAAGCAAAAATATGGAATTGTGTCTTTATCTTCGGGATACCTTTTTGTACCTTGAATAGAAGTTAAACTATAGGATCTGCTTGTGTTTTGGGATTCTATGAAAATAAGATTTAATTGTGTGCCAGTGCTGTAAAAAAATGATGATTACATAAGCAATGGTGTTCTAAACTCTAAAGAAGAACTTAGTTGCCAAGTTATCATCATCATCATCAACCAGATCTTTGGATAATTGGGATTTTTTGGTAGAAGGTTCACTGCAAAAATATTGTTAACTGACATATTCTTGTCTTCTTAATTTATCCTTCCCCAGCTCACGCAATTATGTACTTGGGGGGTCAACACGGTAGATGGGCCGTTCAGTTCTGGACGCAAATAAATGTGCAGATTTTAGCATTATTTATTACTTTTCTGTTTTGGGTGAAATGAACACTAATAATTTTGTTTGCGGCTTTGGAACATTCTAAAATTATTAACATATACAATAGACCTAAATGGGATGCAGTTTATTATTTATCAGTTCATATTGTACTTCAAAATTTTTATTATCAAAAAAAAGAAAATACTGTAATTTGGGAAAAGTGCAGTGGTTAAAAAAGGAATGAAAAACCCCTTTTTAGGTGAGTACCAAAATAACTACCTGGAACAGTAAAAAAGTCAGTCAGTCACTATTGAAGTGGGAATGGGAAAAAAATGAACCAAAAAACTATGGATTGAACTGATTTTATTTTTTTTTAAAAAAAATTGCTGATGATTATCATATTTTAGAAACATACAACAAATTAGCATCAGGTCCAACTTCTATCACCACATTGTTAATGAGACGTAAATTTAAAAGCTACTCCAACAATTAATTAAAAAAACAAAGGATTATATGGATTCAGATGCATCGTGTACTTTGTGACTCTTGCTTAATAAGTAGAAAAGGTCATAAACCCGACTCTTATTTATGGTGATGATATTTGCTTTTTCCTTTAGTATAATTACATTGACATGATGATAAACTACAAAGTGTTTTGGAATACATAACACCATATTCAGACTAATTTTCGTTATAAAACTTTGAGTTTACCTTTTTTTTTTTTGGATAAAAACAATATTTTTTTGTGTCATTATAATTATGTTATTTTCCGGACATATTTCCTCAAAGCCATTGATTTATTCATCTCTCCCAATTATTCTACAGAATCCATCTCTCCCAAAAATTCTGCAGAATCAACTGTTCCGACGAAATATAAATCATTGATATTATTGAATTAATAATTATACTCCAATTGCCACCACCATTGAATGAAAGATTCAGGTGCATATCTACACACCCATAAACTTCACATAGCGGTAATTTGGCGTCTCCAAACAAGAAACAAATCTCAACAAAGTAGCTAGGAAAATAAGAATTCCATCGCAAAGTTCTCGATGCCACCATTAATCTTTTGGCATGTGTAATTGGCTTATTCAACCCGCCAATTCAAGATCTAATACTCAAAGAAGGGGATAAAAGGAATGTGAGAGGAGAAAAGAACCCAGAAACAAATCAATATAATTAGTGCCCAGATTCGATTCAGTTTATTATTACGCAATCTAATGCTAATCTCTCATGAACTAAATTATTGGCACTTTGACATTTTGAGCATCATGCAATTTGATCAATAGTGTTCGTTTTGGATACAATTACCACAACATTAATAGTGTTAGCATTTTAAGAAAATGGACAAACCTTTGTTCTTCTTCAAATTTGATACCATTAGGTTTTTTTTTGCCATCACATACATTTGAAAGTACTCGTGTAAGAATTTCAGGGTCAGATGCAATTGCAAACTTACAACGGGACGTAATTCATTTGCCTCCTTTTTTGTCACATGTAAATTAAATTATTAAAGAGATGGTGATTTACTGCTTGATAGTAGGCTTGCACCTAGAAGCTTCGGGATACACGAAATTTGTTTCTCTCAGCGGGGTGTGAACACAAGCTTCAGATATTCTTCTAGTCCCATACAGAGATATATTTAGTGTATAATTTTAATTTTTTTTAAGAAATATGACTCTTTCTTGTAAACATTAATTTAACTATGTGCAAATTTTGATGGCGTGTTTTTGTATTTCATGCGATGAAAGGAGGAAAAGTTCTTCATCATGATACATCTCAACCTAAAGAGAAGAGATACGAATATGTATCGGAAAAGAAGCTGTGGAGCAGTGGAGGATTAAGGTACGTATAGAAGCTCTCAAAACAATTGAATAAGTCAAAGAAAAATTTCAATGAGTTCGATTTTTTTTTTTTTTTTATAAAAAAGGGCAACATATTCAACCTTTAATCAAGTGTTACAACAACACGAAGGGAATAAGATATCCCAATAATGCCATGATACAACCAATAACAGACTTGTAGAGGAAGCGAATCCAGTCGGCAAAATCCTCATGGATTCGTCTCTGCCAAACTAACTAAAGAGTCCGCAACAAGAAAGATATATTTACTCACCCTTGTTCTGTAATGTTTGACATTTTCGGCTTTTCTTCGTAACTATTTAGTACGTAGTATACTTTCTTAAATACAGTATGCATTACATTACTGAAACATATATATATATATATATATATGTATGTATATACATATTTTTGAAAAGATTGTATTTCATATTCACAGTATATTTGAACCCAAAAACTCTTTTCTAAAGGCCCTCAACCCAAAGCCAACCAGTGTTGGTTCCTCTTTATCAACTTGGTTCAATGCATTTTTTAATTTTTTTTTTTTTTTTGGTACATAAACAGCCATAATAATAAATATCGTAAGATAGTGTAACCAAGTTTTTGACATCCAAATGATTCACTATTTCCGATCTAAATAATTTTTTTCCATGATGATGACTTTACACATTTCCTAAGCAAACATCACAGCCAAAGCAATTAATGTTTTATGCGAATCAGGCACTCTGAGAGTAGATCACTGACAAGATGACCCAGTTTAACTCCTAAGAGAAAGTCATGTATTCCACATTGGTATTTACTTTACTTTAATACGGAAAAAAGAGAGAAATGACATAGAGCAAAGTAGGTTGAACCAGTTCCACCTTCCGTTCCACAAAAACAATTGTTAAAGGGAATGGGTGGCCAAAATTTTCAGCCCTTGCAGCTTCCTCAACAAGCATCCCAAGAAGCCGATCTATCTGTAACACATTAAAAGACAATCACAATTAGAAGCAAAGCAAAAATGAGAATGGTAAAAGAACCGTAACGATTGCTGAACATAAAATGACTACAAACGCTGCATGACAAATCATACACATGGTTGTAGTTACATACTCATTGAAAATGTTACAGCACAACAGGTGCACATTGCAGTCCCGGAATTATGTTTTAAGCCCATGGAGAGAGGTTGCTATCCAATGGATTTCTTTCAGCCAAGTGTTCAAAATGGAAATTTTGTCTATGATGTACTTCGTTGTGATAAAGCAACTTGATATCTAGCTGGAGATTGAACTACTCAAAAGTTCTCTCTCAATACTTTGAAAATGAAACAAGGGACATACGAAACAACCAGAGAATAACTCACCTTTTCATTTTCAGGCACCTTCTCCAAAACTTGCATAACATTTGCCGTTGGGCTACTAACTTTCCCTACCTTTACTTGCACTGGATCCCTCAAATACTCCTACAAATGAATGGAAAAAGAACGAAGAAACTAAATAAAGTCATTATTCATAATTAGCAGAACTGTAACGGTTGCCTGAAGAAAAACACAACATCAGTGTTATGCCACTAAATAATTAATGTAATAAACTGATGGAGAAATCAACAATCTGCGCACAATTCTCCAAACTACTACAAACAATTTTATTTTATTTTAATAAAAACAATTTGGACAAGATACTTTTATTTTATCTACAAACAATTTTATGTTCTTAAAAAAAAACTGAATATGTCAAAATTGTAAGGCATACTACCAGAAAGAGCTGTTAAACTGAACTCCAACAATTGCAGAGCTGCAGATGCCATTTTGCTACTACAAGTGAATAGAATTCTACAATTCAATCACACATATAGAGGCATTCCGATCAAAATCCAAAAAAAAAGAAAAGAGAAAAAGAGTCAACTAAATGATAACTATTTCAGAATTTTCGCACGATCCTATGCTACAACTACCAAAGTTGAAAAAACCACAGATGCAATACAATGCACAAAAAAGAATTTTTCATATTAGTAAACATTAGTGCAACATTAACCTCTCTTAGCATCAACTTATCAAGGCTCTCCCAGGTATACTTTATCATTCAAGTCAAACAAGAAACGAGCTATAATAAGATAAAATATATGCCATTCTTCAAAGGTACTCATTAGAAGAAAATTGAAGTGTGATCAATACTGACCTGCGCTAGTATTTCAATCTCTACAGGCATGGTTGCACTAAACAACAATGTTTGATGTTTTTCAGGAAGATTCTGCATCACCTGTATTCAGAAGATAACATGTAAGTGCTCACTTGCATGCATAAATGCAATTTCCTGCTCATTAATGTCAACATTACACCCATTCAAAAATATGCATCATTGATTCATAAAACATGCTAAACAATGAAATTGCTAAGTCCTTTTGAGCAAGTTCTTTCCTAATTCTTCACTTCCTCATTTTTGCAGTTGTCGTATATAGCAATTGCATTTACAAATCTTTTTAAGGACAAGAATGACTCAGAAAATCAGGCAAGAACAATCATGGTATAATTTGTTCGAAAATGGACACCATATGTATCTTAAAGAAGGCCAAAGAAACAGCTGGCAGTTCCAGAAGTCCCTCAGCAGTCAAACATTAACATAATGTTACAGGAGAATAGAATTCATTGTCTAAAGGTAGCCTTTCTCAAAACATGATGTATAGTACATACTATATAGTACACAGATGATATCTTTCTTGAAGTTACAAGCATATGTAAACGGATACCAACAACTCAAGTATGCACAAAGCTAAGAAACATAAAAAATGTGAATATGCTGAAATTGCAACACTACATTAAACATAAATCACCTCTCTTATCTGTGGTTCAAATCCCATATCAAGCATCCTATCAGCCTCATCAAGAACGACAAAAGAGATCCTAGAGAGTGATGTATTTTTCTGTTGCAAATGATCAATAAATCTTCCAGGAGTTGCAACCACAATATCCACTCCCATTCGCAGTTCAGACTTCTGTTGAAATATCACCAACACCAAGTATAACATAATTGGTCAAAACCAACTACAAAAAGATTTTAGTGTTTGCAATAACATAATCGGAAAAACTGGCAAACACATCCCAGATGATTCTAAGCTAAAAAGAAGGGTATTAAGAAAGCAAAATGAATAATTCCGCATCCATTACCTGATCAGAAATATTAGTCCCACCAACCACAATAGCAGTTCCAAGAGATTCCAATGATTTACCGAAAGCCTTCACCTGAAAAATGTTTCAAAGAAGCACAATATGTATTACAACACAAATGTTCAAAAAGGCAGAGTTTACATATGAACTTGTCCATGCAACATTTGAACCAGAAAATTATGCCAGATTATATAAGCTTCACTCACTAAACAACATACAAAAGATGAGAAATGACCCTGCACGAACAGGACAAAAATGAATCATTTTTAAAACACACTAAATTTACACACAGTAAAACTATAACAGAGATGTTAAAACAATACGCAATTACCTCAACAATTGCAGAGATGTCTCCACTTCTAAATGCAGGAATAATTACTCGTGTTTCAACATTAAACTTAAAAAACAATGCATTGTTAATTGAGATATTCTCCCAACTACAGACAAACTCCAGCCATATGAAGTTATCAACAACAGCATGAAACATAATCAGCCAAGTTGAACACCAGAACAACCAGAGTTTCAATAGCAAAACAAAGTTCAAATATATTTTGATTTTGGAAATCTTTTTTCATTAATCAAAGTCGTGAATCCATAAATACAGAGATGCCTACCTCCTTCTCTATCTGCTGGGCAAGCTCTCTCGTAGGAGCCAACACCAATGCAAGCGGTCCATCGCCTCGTCTAACAGGTGGCTGAGCCAAGCAATGGTGCAAACAAGAGGAAGCAAAAGAACATTACATACACATTCACATGGATGAATCTACAGTCTATACCAAAAGATTATGGTATAAGAACAATCAACCCAAAAAGTTCAAAGAAAAAAAAAAAACACATGTATCATAGGAATGGCGAAGGCAGCAGTTTTTCCACTACCAGTTTCAGCACAACCTAAAAGGTCCCTCCCACTGAGGGCAACCGGCATGGCTTGCGCCTGGATTGAAGTTGGCATCGTATATCCATGAAACGTTATATCCTTCATAATGCTTGAATGCAAACCCTGCAAATAAGAGTTAGAAACACTTATTATACCAAATCAAAACCAGATTGTCCAATACTCTTTTCAAATTAGGCAATGGTCCTCCACCAAGTTACCATGTCTGTAAACGACTCAATAGGCGCTGGTGCAGGAGGTGAATCAGGACCTACTATGACTTCGACATTAAGCCTTAAGCGAACCTCCTCTATCTGTTGGACATAAACTCATACACGTCAATTATTGAATAAATCAGTTCGAACATCATAAACGACTGTAATTCACATAAGAGATAGAAAAACGTAAAAAAAAAAAGAGTTTCGTAATACAGGACAAAGCTAAATAGATTCCATAGTCTTTTCGAATCAACTAAACAAAAATTCACGCACTAAACAATGAGCGAGGAATTTCAAGCTTAGCGAAATTTGCATTTTCGAAGTGAATTCTAGAAAGGCAAAAAAATAGAGGAAAAACTTAGACCGCATTGGATTGTACCTGGTCGGTTGTAAAACGAAGAACGCGTTCGGATGGCTTCCAGGAAGGGAAAACAATGTCAGGAGTGGTGAAATTGGTGGCGCTGCTGCGGCGAGAATGATGACCGCCGTGATTATTATTATTATGATTGTTGGTGTGGTGGTTGTTTGCAGTGGAGGAGTTGAGCTTGGAGTAAGAGTGAAAGATAGTGGCGTCGACAGTGGCGGTGCTGCCGCCGGCGGGGGCGGCAATTGTGGTTGAATTTCTCAGGTGAGGAGGAACATACGACAGGGGTTTTGCGAATTCCTTTTTGAATTTTTACGTTTTCCTTTTCCCCAGCCGAGGAGTGTTTATGGGCTTTTATTTAACTGGGCCTTTACCGGACTGGAGTTTTAAGATGATAGACTCTGCAGTTTGGATTTGTTTGGGATTTGTTTTGAGACTTGAGAGTTGAGACTTTGATTATTTATCGCCATTTTTTTTTTTAAAGGATTATCGCCATTTCATTTCATAGTGTAAAACAAGTTTTGTTATGTATGTTTATTGTAACGTCAAACCTTGATCAACTCATGACAGTGTTAGAAATTTCGCCCTCACGTGATGTTCTAGTTTGATTTTAGGATTGATACTTCCTCCTTTACACCGAAAAAAATATTGTAACTAAAAATACAGCTTAGATTTGAACTCTTTCTACGATGAAATTTTGGCGTAACCCTCCTTTCTTCGAAAACGAAATCAAAACGTAGGTAGTTTGTAGGAGGCCGGGTTATACAATCTATATGGTTATTCATATTGAGGTAGAAGTCATTGTTATTCATTCTTGTTCAATTTGAATCTTAAATACTCTAGGAGTTAGGTTCATACGGTGTTAATTAATCACTAAAATTTGGTAGGCCGATACTGTTTTCTTTGCAAGGGCCGATCAAATCTTGTTGTTTCCTACCTTGGAAGAAACTACTTACACGGATCCAATGTTAAACTTGTAAAAGTAGGAAAGCTAAGAACGCACTTTCCATCTCCAAACTTTACTAATAAAAATAATTTCACTGCATAAGAGCTCATCCATGGGGTGTCATTCCGAAGCTGAAATTCCACGATACATCACCGACTACCCAAATGAAGCACCTCGCATCCACTCAAAAATCTCAGCTATCACCTTCTTAAACCCTAACCCTCTCAAACTTAAAGCTTAACAGGGTTCGCCTAGCTAATTAACATAGAAAAGAAAATGTATGAACAATACCTGAAAAGACCAAAAACAATTCCTTCAAAAACACTCATCAAAATGTTTTGTACAATCTGCATAAGCTATCTTTGAGTATTAAATAAAAAGTGTCACCTTCGCAGGTTTGGGACTTAATGTCTCTGATAATGAGCTTGATACGAATCTTGAGGCAAAGGTGGCAGATTTACCTCGACGCGGAAGTTTTGAATTTCCCAGGACTTGAAAACTTGCAAATCCAATATTATGGACTCCAATACTCACGAAAAATAAAAGAAAAGAAGAGATGCAAACCACAAAAATTTGCACAAAAAAAGGGATGGAAAGTTTTAGAGGATGTAGAAAGTGTTTAAGGTTAGCAACCCAATCGATCACTTCTCTAACAACCCTATCCCTTCGATTTATGGATAGAACGGCTAGTGAAAAGGCTCCAATGAACAACTAACAAAGCTCCACAAGTAGAAAAACATCTATTCTACTCGCATGCATCAACAAAGCACAAGCTTGTGTGCAATGCACTAATCTTCGAAAAGAGTAGAAAAAGAACAAAGAGTTTCCTCTCGTTTCATACTGAAATAATTTATCAAAGGTACAAATGAAATGCTGGCCAAGCATCCCTATTTATAGTAGAGGGGGCCAAAAATTCTCCTACCAATTAGGAGAAGAGTTTGATCTCTAACTCTATTCCTACTTTAAAGAACTAGAAATCAACTTAACTTCTAATTGACAACTTGTGTCTTATCTATTAAGGCAATGAATCTAGACACCTTTATAGAATGAAGACACACTAGTCTATTGAAAATAAAACTCCAAATACAAAGAGATATTTTCTCAAAAGAATCTTATTCTTATCTTGAAAATAATCTTCCTGAGTTGTCAACTCTATCAATATATTCTTTGTAGAGTAATCATAGCCATCCAATCTTGATCTAATCTATCCAACGATTGGGAGTAGACACCAAGGAATAGACTTCTTATTTTGAATGAACTCTAAATTAGATAAAAGAGAATCATATCAAATCTTATCCTCTTCCATGTGATAAGATTTAAATGATCTTATCTCTAAAAGATAGGGAATCTTCCAAATCTTATCCTTCCATAAATGTGATAAGATTTAAATGATTTTATCCCTAAAAGATAGAGATTCCAACTCCTAAAAATTAGGAGATAGGGCCGGCCTCCCTTGCTTGGTTTGTGGGTCGAAATTTCCTTCCTCAAATGGGCCTTGTAACATATTAATAAACTTGGGCTTGTAACTTCCAGACTTGACATTCTCTTGGGCTAAACCATTTGATATAAGATTATTAAGTGCACCCCTCATTCTTTTACTTCTAGCTTGAGTCATTGGGCCCCCAATGTTGGATAATGGATCTTGAACCACTCCTTGAGCTTGGACAGTACTTGGAACCCCAACACCTTGATCATCTTGGACTTGATTACCATGGATGTTCACATCATTCCCTCCTTCCTCGAAAGGATTCGACCTCGAATCCAAAGCTTGTACAGCTTCAGCATCTGAGAAATCAAATGGAGATAAATTAGAAACATGAAAAGTCGCACTAACATTATACTCACCAGGAAGGTCAAGTTGATAAGCATTGTTGTTCAAATGCTTGACAACTTAGAAAGGACCAGCTCCACGAGGATCTAACTTCGATTTAACCTTTGTAGGAAATCGAATCTTCCTTAAATGAACCCAAACCCAATCACCAGGTTCAAATTCATTTCCTTACGCCCCTTGTTGGCAATCCGCGCAACATGCTCATTTCTCTTCACAATATTCATGTGTACTTTCTCATGAAGAGAACGTACATACTCAGCTTTCTTGGCTCCATCTGCATTAAGATACTCAGAAACAGGCAATGAAGACAAGTCTAAAGGGGTTAAGGGGTTAAATCCATAAACAATTTCAAACGGAGAATATTGGGTAGTAGAACACACAACACGATTATATGCAAATTCAGCAATAGACAAACAAGCTTCCCAATTCTTACGATTCTTTTGGATCAAAACACGAAGCAAAGAACCAAGAGTCCGATTAACCACCTCCGTCTGGCCATCTGTTTGAGGATGAGCAGTTGTTGAAAACAACAGTTTTGTACCTAGTTTTCCCCACAAAGTTTTTCAAAAGTAGCTCAAAAATCTAACATCTCTGTCAGACACAATAGTTCAAGGTAAACCATGCAATCTAACAATTTCACGCATAAATAAATCAGCTACATGCTTGGCATCATAGATTTATAACAAGGAATAAAATGTGTCATCTTAGAAAACCTATCAACTACCACAAAAACTGAATCACACCCTTTTTGAGATTTAGGTAATTCGAAAACAAAGTCCATTGAAATATCAGTCCAAGGGTGGGTAGGTACAGGTAAAGGCGTATATAACCCATGTGGTTGTGACTTAGACTTTGCTTGTTTGCACTCAATACAAGTAGAACAAGCTTTTTCTACGTCACGTTTCATATTAAGCCAATAAAAATACTCACATAAAACATCATAAGTTTTCAAAATACCAAAATGACCCATAAGACCACCACTATGAGATTCACGCACTAATAGTTCACGCAGAGAACAAGCAGGCACACATAATTTATTATCTTTAAACAAGAAACCCTCATGCCTATAAAACTTGTTAAATGCGCCACTTTCACATGCTTCAAAAATGGATGAAAAATCAAAATCAGTAGCGTACAAATCCTTAATGTATTCAATCCCTAATAACTTAGAATCAAGCACAGAAAGGACATACGATCTTCGAGACAATGTATCAACTACCACATTCTCTTTTCCCTTCTTGTACTTAATGACATAAGGAAAAGATTCAAGAAATGCGCTTCATTTAGCATGTCTCTTATTCAGTTTGTTTTGTCCATGCGAATATTTCAAAGACTCACGATCACTATGGATAACAAACTCTTTTGGCACTAAATAGTGTTGCCAATTTTCTAAAGCCCTAATTACAGCATACAATTCTTTATCATAAGTAGGATAATTCAATGTGGAACCACTTATTTTTTCGAAAAGTACGCAATAGGCTTACCACTTTGCATTAACACCGCACCAATTCCAACCCCAGATGCATCACACTTAATTTCAAAAGTAAGATCAAAATTAGGTAATGCAAGAACAGGAGCATAAGTTAGATCATTCTTTAAAGTGTTAAATGCAAGTTCTTGATCTTCAACCCATTCAAACCTAACATTCTTCTTTACTAAGTGATTTAGGGGTGCAGCCTTAGTAGAGAAATCCTTCACAAACCTACGATAAAAACTAGCTAAACCATGGAAGGAACGAATGTCAAAGACAGACTTAGGTGTAGGCCATTCCCGAATTGCCTTAACCTTAGCCTCGTCAACTTTAACACCATCCTTGCTAACAATAAAACCAAGAAAAATAACTTTTGGTACACAGAAAGTACACTTAGCAAGTTTAGCATAAAGTTTATTTTCACGTAAAGCAGAGAGCACACCCGAAAGATGTTTAGCATGTGAAACTTCATCTCTACTATACACTAAAATATCATCAAAATAAACCACAACAAATTTACCTATATAAGGTCTAAGCACATGGTTCATAAGACGCATAAAAGTAGAAGGAGCGTTAGTCAAACCAAAAGGCATAACCATCCATTCATATAAACCAAATTTAGTTTTAAAAGCGGTTTTCCATTCATCACCCTCTTTCATGCGAATTTGATGATAGCCACTAGCAAGATCTATTTTAGAAAATATGCAAGAGCCACATAGATCTTCTAACATGTCATCTAGCCTAGGTATAGGATGTCTATATTTAATAGTAATTTTATTCACAGCATGACAATCCATACACATACGCCATATTCCATCTTTCTTAGGAACTAAAATGACAGGCACTGTACAAGGACTTAAAGATTCACGAACCATACCTTTGTCAAGGAGTTCCTCGACTTGACGTTGCAGTTCCTTGGTCTCCTCGGGGTTCGCCTTGTATGCAGGACGATTAGAAATTACTGATCCTGGGATAAAATCAATTTGATGCTCAATTCCCCTCAAAGGTGGAAGTCCCTTTGACAATTCTTCTAGAAAAACATCCTCATAATCCTGCAAAACAGATTTAACAACACTAGGAATATTTTCAATGAGGTTAGTGTTAGTTAAACATAAATCC